TGGGTTAGGTGGTCGACTCGCGAGGTTCAGAGGTTATTCTCACTTTAGTTAAAGCAGAACGTATAGCAGAGACGATAACAACGTCGTCGTCGTGTTTCTCCAGTATTTTGGCTCTCGCAGCAGACATGATGAGCAAAAAAAAAGGAAAGTACAATGGGCAGAAAGACAGAAGGTAGTGGTTGGGTTTAAGAGATTCTGCTTTGCAAATACTTCGTTATTAAGACGAGGATGGATAATCACACGCCAATTGTAGAATTTACTCCCGTCCCCGTCCGGTTCGCTCTGACTTTTGTTGCCGGGGTCCGAGACGTGTCGGCGAAATTTCATACGGCTAAACAAAACAAAGGACAATAAGAAAAGACAAGTGAATGCAAAAATGATGAGAGTGGGATTCGAACCCACGCCACAATGTGACCAGATTTCAGTGCGCATCTAATCCTTAGTCTGGCGCCTTAGACCGCTCGGCCATCTCACCTTCGCGATGTCTCCATATATATAGTCTTCTGATATACTTTTAATAATCCAAAATACCCAATATTGAATTCGCCCCACCTGCTTTCTCTCTCATCCATTTAATGGCCACCGACTTTTGGGCAAGTACACATTAGTGAGAAGTGCTATACGAGGCGCCACATTCTTGTTAACTTTCTACGCTCAGTAAACGCTGGATAGTTGACCGCTCCACATTGAAGCAAGCACGCGCAGATGATTTACTGTACGTTTCAGAGCCGGAATATGTGGACTTTTTATCCATCTATTTTGCGAACCGTAGGTAGTATAACCCTTCTGTTTAGCTCTTTGATCCTATCGGGTGATTGTAGTTATCACAAAGCTAGGCAAAAAACTCCAGTTCCGACAACGAGTTGTGGCCACCGCTACTGTATTCTTCCACAGATTCTACCTCAAGAACTCATACTGCGAAACAGACCCCTATGTTGTCCTTTCAGCATGCTGTTATGTCGCTGCGAAAGCAGAGGAGTCTCCGGTACACATAAAGAACGTTGTCGCCGAGTCTCGTGCCCTGTTCAGTCGTGAGTTTCTCATTATTATCATTCGCAATAATCGAACTTTCTAAATACAATACATTGTAGAAGAACAGTACAACGTCAAACATTTCCCTTCGGACAACCATAAACTCGCAGAGATGGAATTTTACCTTGTAGACGACCTAGATTGCGATTTAATCGTCTTTCATCCGTATCGAACATTACTTGCCTTGTGTAAGAAGGATTCATCATCATCGCCTGCCAGTGGCAGTCACTCGATTTCACCTACAGATGAGGCTGAAGCAGGCGAACTGGGCACCGGAATTGGCATCGAGGATGGTCCGAGATATTGGGGTACAGGTGAAGGAAAACTCGAGTTATCTGAAGGTGCATTACAAACTGCATGGTATATTTTATCACTCGACTTGCTCCAGAGATTGAAACCTCCATATCTAGGTTTATAATCAACGACACCTACCGCTCTGAACTATGTCTCCTCTATCCGCCGCATCTGATTGCAGTGACCGCAATTTATCTTACCCTTGTTCTTCATACACCCACTCAGAATAGCATTGCGCACCTACTACCTTATTCTTCCGCGTTCAACTCCGATTCCGCAATCTCTAGCGAGTCCATGCAGACGACTCCTCAACCAAGACGCTCGTCGCGTACAAGTGATCCTTCATCCAAACAAACCCAACAAGACCCCATCTCCTTCCTTGCAGACCTCAACGTCTCACTTTCTACTATCTCAACCATAGCACAGGAGATTATATCGATGTACAGTCTTTGGAGTCGATATCGTGAAGATGTTTCACCGGAGGAACTACGGAAAACAAGCATGAGTGCAAGTATGGGTAAGAGGGGCACTCCGGGTAATTCAAAGAGTACGAAGGGTCCACGTGGTTCCCAGGTTACACAAAGCCAGAGAAATTCTCGAAATGCTTCTGCATCTTCTACCGCCTCTGACCTTGAACGGCAACGCGAACGACAACGACTCCAAGGCGTGCTGCAATTACAGGCGCATGCGATGGCAACTTTCAAGAAACAAGGATATGTCCCGGTGCCACCGTCACAAATGATGACTGGCATGCCTCCATTTTTTATCCCCCAGCACCCGCAACAGCAAGCCCAACATCGCTATCCCCCAGCCTTAGTCCCTGTCTCCCTCGGTTCTCTTAGTCCAACGAAGAGATCAGCAACAGGAGCTGGTTCAGGTTCTGGTTCAGGGACCGGGACACCCAATAGTGCTAGTGGAGGACGGATGGAAGATTTATTCGGAGACGGGACGAGCTCTGGTTCTCCTGCGTCTCATACTTCCCACGCAGGTCAACGATCTGGTTCGACACCGCTCGGTAATACTCCTGGAAGTATAGGAGGCGAAGGAGGCGACGACACCGCTAATTCCTGGCCATTTGGACAAGGGCGCTTAGTCACAGCCAATTTTCTATCATCATTGTTGAATAATATGCGAGAGGCAAGGATGAACGATATGGCTCATCCGCCAAATGGAAGGCCGGTTGTTGTGAATCGAATGCTGGAAAGGACTGGATAGGAATGAGGATGGGTAAATTGCAGTTCGCTGGGAGTATGATTTGAATGTACTTATGATAGGGCTTGGTTGCCTGCTCTAATTTTCGGGAGCTGTTCATTCCCCCTTCGTTGAACGCCCGCTCAACTGTTAGCTGTCAAAATTATGGCCTTTCGAGTGCAAGTCGTGTCCCATACTTCACATTTCGATCGCAAATATGCAGAGCGGCATTTGGGCAACAAAACAGGAGCACTCAATACCGCGGGAAGTTTGGTATCAGCTTCAATCGAAAGTGACCCCATACCCTTTTCTCTGAGTACATGTCGCAGCCTCAGGAAAGTAATCTATTCATGGTCTATTGATAGTGGAACGATGAGACTTCCCGGTATCTTTGAATTTGTTGCCTGCTCTTTCACCTCAAGTTGTTCCGAGGATCTCTAGACTTTTGAACAGCGCCCTGGTCTAAGAATTCTAGTATCCTCAGCCCGTGTAACAAGGACGTGCGAAGGCTCATGCTTCGCAGATCAGTATCTTTCGATACATGGGAATTGTTTTCGACCAGAGACAACTCTCAAGAAAGTACTTTCGTGATGTGTTTGTACCACGTAGGAGAAATGAGTCCAATCATTTCTCTCCTGAACCTATCCATCGTTTACTTCCAACTGTTCCCAATCAGATCATCCCCCCAGTGTTTCGCATCTTATTGCCACGGTCGCCCAGGAACCTAATCATTTACTGATACGACAGAAAACAATTCGGCCTTTCCAGAATGATACCCGAGGCTTCAATTTCGCACCCAATATTCGACGCAGTTGACAATGGTACATAGTTGGAAAGTTTGTACGCTGTGGTCATGTTTTAATTGGGTCTGTTCGCCTCCTCCCCCTGAACATAGACTCGAGACATGCGCTCAATAGTGTTAGGGCAATTTTTTACAATCAGGACGCTAATTTTCATCTCTATCATCAGACCTCGACTCTCGTTGAACCATCTTAGAGGACCTTATTTGGGTTCTTGGTCAATAAACACCGCCGTCCAATGAATTTACATATTCGAGGAATCAACTGAATAACGATGCCCACGCTCGCATCTTCTCGACTGTTACGCAAAACAATCACAATGTAAACACATGGACGCTCATCGAAGAAGTCTTGATGCTGATATGATATTTCCATTACTTTCATCCAACGATAAACTCTGGTGTAAATTCCTTCGCCCATTGATAAGGCAAACAGTTCGCTGAGCTTATCCCTCACACTTTTTCGACATGGCAGACACTCTTGGGATTAGTGAAGCTCAGATCCTAGGACTATTCATTGCTAGTGTCTTCTGGGGCATGCTGCTCATTACTTTTGTACAAACAATTCGGTACCTTCTTTGGGATTCCGATGCCAAAGGTGGGCAGTTCAAGCGCCTCTCGACAATCAACTGGTCAATGCTTGTCGTCGCCCTCTTGTTAATGGCCTTATCGACTTTTGATGTTTCGCTGGGTCTAATGCATAGCATCGAGGCCTTCATCTTCTACACCGGCCCTGGGGGCTCGACCGCCAGATTTACAGGTCTGACGGATTGGGTAAATGTTTTGAAGGTTTGTGTTTAGCACAATGAGGTTGGATTTTCCTGAATTTCTACTTTTGCTTCTGCCAGACGTGCAATGTTGTGTTTGGCAAGGTCATCAGTGATGGTGTCTTGATCTTCAGATGCTGGGCTGTTTGCAACCATAACATCCTCATCGTTGTATTTCCTATACTCTTGTGGATGGGATATCTCGGTACAGGGATATTCGTTATTTATCTGGAAGCGAGCGCAGGAAATCCCAGAGTGTTGCTCACTGGAGGAATGTCCAAAATCACGCCCAGCATCACTGCTGGTTGGACAATGTCATTGACTAACAATATCATAACTACTGGTAAGGCTATCCCTTTTCACCCACATAGGTTTTTCATATCCATTGCTTACAGGAATTATTGTTTACCGTATTTGGCGTGTGGACAAATCTAACGCTCTATATGGCATTCAGACTCAGGAATCAGCTACCCAAGGCTCCCGAAGTCTCTTTGGTTCCAAAAAGCGTCAAAGAACAAAACTGCAAAATATCATCCGAATCGTTATCGAATCGGGAATGATGTACACTACCACTGCTTTCATCACATTCATTACCTTCGTGGTGGGAAGTAACTCTTTCTATCCAACTTCAGATGCGGTATGCATAATTAATCTCTCCGCCTGCTCATACACTAACGAGATAAAATGCCCGACCAGGAGCTTCAAATTCTTGCAATTGCATTCAACCTCATTATCATTCGCATTAGTACTCGCCCTAGTGGGTCAGGGGATTACAGCACAAGTGTTCAATCTGCATCACAGACATTCCCACTTCAAAAATTCAGCTCTGCAACGAAAGGTACTGTTGATACTGTACCAACCCAGGAGTCATTGAGTATATATTGAAGAGATTCTCATGGCCTGTGGAAATATTGAAGGGGGGTGTAGCTCAGCTGGGAGAGCAGCAGGCTGTAGTAAATGCAATTCTTCTGAAGGTCCCGCGTTCGATCCGCATGTTTTTTCTTTGGAGGTGCAAGAAGATATTCATTAATACAAGAGAGAGCACATGTACAAATCATAATCTACAAAGCCAAATTTTCCTCCAAGTCCATCCTATCTTTATTTACATTGTCGGATCTAAATGAATTCCTCGTCTGTGGACGTGCTGACGAATAGTCTACGTCCACGCTCTCTTCATTTGAAATCATTACTTCGAGAGTCCTCTTTGATACGATTTCGCCTGGAGCTGGACTAGTACTGTCCATCACAGAAGTGAAGGTACGCAGCGGGAACGTTGGATGATGATTTGGCCTACTATTCTGCGCACTATAGTTCTCTTCAGGCCGAGTGCTGATGCGAATAATGATCAAATTGAATGCTATCGAGAGGATCTGAAGCTCCTGCAGCGAAAACATATGTTATACGTTAGGACCAAAATCTTCCATGCATAAGTTCGCTTACTGCATCAGAAGTTGCGTAGAAAGAGTTGCTGCCGGTCACAAAGGTGATAAAGGTAATGAGAGAAATGGTCGTATAGAGGAGTCCTGATTCGATGATGATTCGTGTTACATTTTGTAGTTTGGTCCTTTGACTACTACGACCAAAAAATGCCCGGCTGCGTGACGACGCGGTCTGAACCGCATATACTGAATTTTCTTTGTCCACTCGCCGGATGCGATAGACGATCAATCCTAGGAGACAAGTGATCAGTCAAGATGTATTATGCCAGGGACTGGACATACCAGTGGCTATTATGTTATTAACGAGGGACATAGTCCATCCCGATGTAATGCTAGGTGTAAGATCCGACAAGCCTGGACCCGTCAATAAGACGTTAGGATTGCCGGCGCTTGCCTCTAAGTATACGACGAAGATAGCGAGACCTAGGTAACCTAACCACAAAAGAAGGGGGAACGCAATGACGAGCCATCGCTTATTGTACACCACCCAACAGCGGTAAACCTATGGTATGCTAGCATCAATACCACGCACATCCTTGATATGCAAATATTGAGATACTCACTAGGACCCCGTCACTAATCAGCTTTCCAAACACCACGTTACATGTCTGTGGTACTGTGATCACTTTTGAAATATAATATCATCAAACTGGGGTGCACACCTTCAAAATGTTGACCCAATCTGTTAGACTAGTAAATCGAGCAGCAGAGCCCCCTGGTCCTGAATAAAATATAAACGCCTCGATGTTGTGCATCAGTCCTAGCGCGACGTCAAAGGTGGATAGAAATGCCAACAGCGCTGCGACGACAAACATAGGCCAATTGATCGTCGACGCAGGCTTCAGAACCCCTTTGGAATCCCACAATTGATAACGTATGCATTGAACGAATGTGATCAGAAACATCCCCCAGAAGACACTAGCGAGAAAGAGGCCCAGGAGCTGAGCCTCGCTGATTCCTAGTGCCATGCAAAGATGACGAGCAGTTCTTCGAAATCGTTCGTTGAAGAGCTTGTTCGAGGTTGGGAATTGATACGTAAAGATCGGCTTCTTAAAAGCTCCCCCTGATGCGACTGTTAGAGGTTAGCGCATGATAAGTAAGGGGAAGAGATCATAGCGGTTGTCAGCTCCCCTGACAATTAAGAAGGAGGTAACCAGAACGTGTGTGTGTAACTCACCAATCTAGAGGATGATTGATATTCCGTGCTTCCGAATTACGCACTGTTCTTCAATGTTGAGCGAAATGCAAGGAAGAAAAGGTAAACAAACAGCAGGTTATAAGGTAATGATCTTAAGTCGCCGGAGCGTACGGATGATCCCGTATCCGATAAATGGTGAAGTGAGCAAAAGGACTCAGGCTGCTGTCAAATGTCCAGCTATTGTACAAAGCGGGTATCATATTGATGGATCATGAGGAAATTCAAACATTGATACTTAAGGCTTCCCAAATTTGATGCGAGAGAACGATAGGTCGTATAGACGGTCACAAACTTTGGCGACATAGAATGTCAAGAACGGCTTTTAAGTGTGGATGAATGATTGAAGGAAAAAGCGTGGAAATCCGATCTAAAACCAGCTTTGACCGACGCGACGACAACGACCACTCGAATCGATTTCCGGTCTTCATGAACCGTCCAGTCATAAATCGATAACTACTAGATAGCTACATGTATTCATTAGCTAATTGTCCTAACACTCAATTCACCATACGGTTCTGTTCCAGCTTGTCCGGAAACTAGATACTAAATACTGGGTGGTTTTCAACGCCTAGTACTGCCGTACCTTCGAATATCATTGATCTCGACCCAGAATATGCTTTTTCCCCATGATGGATATTTCTCTGTCATTTGCTTACTGCGTTTTCAACTTCCCATGATCCTCGGGACAGCGAGGAAGATTTTTGATTTGATAGGAGGATAAATCTATCTCCGAACCCAACCCGAGTCCCAATCGGAAGGAGTTGGATAGATGCAATGGATAATAATTGATCAGTTCATGGGATTGTGCTTTCCTTCATTATGTATCCTTACTTTTTGACCAGAAAAACCATTTCAATCAGAGCAACGCTTGACAAATGAATGTTACAAATCGAATGCTTAGGCTGAACTGAAACAGTCATTTGTTAATTTGCTTTAACTTTAAACATTTCTAAGTCGCTTTCTGACGAAGTCGTCCCCCACGAATCTTCACATTTACCTCCCTGGGTCGATCATCCCTCTCGCTTCTGCGAACCCGCGCCCATTGTCTCCTATGCTGCTCGTCACACACCCAGTTAGCCGGATATCCATGTCCTATTTCCCTATTCTGCTCTCCCATACACAATACCAACTCCTGTAAATAAGGAATTTCGACAATTCCAGTGCCTACCACTGCGCTCCATACCTCCATCACAAAACTCTCATCGGCCTCGGAGTAGGACTTTGTTTTCGATACTATAGCCATTTCGTTCAATTTGGATGGATCGTTCAACTGGAAAAATACAAGAGAATCGAAAAAGGCAATCCCGAGATCCATATGTATCGTTAGTTCACGGAGGTTGCATCCACGAATGGCGGCGTAGTATTCACGTTCTGTTTGACCGTCTACTGTCCGGTCAACATCGAGCGCGAGACTGGTTAGTTGCTGACAAGCACGGCGAATATCATGTAGTTGGTCCAGAGATAAGCATAGGCGCCTCGACTCTTCCTTGGGAGATTCGACCTGATGAAGTGACAGTAGTCGGAGGGAATGACCATGATGGATGAGAATAGTTGAAAGAATGGGCTCCCAAGGTCGGGAGGTCTGTAGAACAATGGTCAAAGATTCTAACGGACTACAAGACTGGAAGAAGACAGCTATGCCAGTCACCAATTCGTTGATTTTGGAATCCGGGTCAGGACCCCAGAACCGGGTTCCGAAATGGACATCGAGATGTTTGAGAGAACAAAGTTTGTAAGTTGGATGTTGGGTTACAAGCTGTAGAAAATCCGAAGACGGCTGAACACTTTTCAATCTTATAAGCTGTTCTGGATGAATGTACGCGCCGAGTTTCTGAAACATTTGTGCATCAACATTGTCCAGCTCGAGTGATTTGATACATTTGCATTTAGGTGCATCAACCGCAAATTTCTGGATTTCTCGACCATTCGCCTCAATCTGCTCGCTCGAGTATCCGTAAATAACACAACCACCTCCAGAGCGAGAAATTCTAGAAATATCCTCTAGATTCGGCGATAGTTTAACGATACGATCGAAGGCGCTGAAACGATAATCGGCTTCGGGCCCAGTCCCAGTGAAGAAGAGCGCATGCAAAGAGCGAAGACAAGGGGAGTTCGCAAGTGCCTCTTCTGCGGGATCACCGAAAGGAACTTCTGGAGCAATTCGAGTCCAGTTTCGAACGTGAAGATGAGTAGAAGGATGATGTCGATGTAACGCGTTCAATAGGACAATGGGCAGTTGTTCGCAATACTCGAATGTAAACGATGCCAGGTGCGATAATTGGCTCAGCACTTGTATGAGCGAAGCCCACTTGGTCGTGTCTGGCGCTTTGACAGACACATGTCGCCGCCAGTACGCAGGCGTACCTTGGACGGTGATGTGTCTGATGGAAGAGAGTATACTAGAATTGTCCTCAAGCCAGGATTTCAATCGAGCAATCGTAGCCTGTTGTCGATTCGGAGAGTAATCCAATACACACGAACGGTGGAGTACTGGTAAGGTGATATTGTACAACACTCTATTAACACATAGCACAGAAAGTAGTGAGTGTCTGGAAACATCGTGAAGCTGAATGTGGAACTTGTTGGACCATGGTCAGAATCAGTAGATATTAAAACCCACCATCACCAGGATGTGACACAGGACATCAATATTGAGTTCATGTAGAAACAGTTTCCTCGAAGACATAGTGGACATTATGCTGGAAGCATACCAGGCCTGCATAACTTTATACATGGTCGTGTTTGAAGTTGTACAGAGAGCAATGATTCGGTCCCGCGTTTGCATGAAATGCAGGACCTGGGATAACCAGGGGCCAGCTTTGTCATGAAGTTACCAGCAAAGGAAATTGGCTCCTTTAGGCTCTTCATTGTCTCTCCATGCCCAACGAATTTCCCTACACTTACTAGAGAGGGGCTGACTACCGACTATGTCTGCTTACAACCTACTTACACTGTTTCCTGTCCAATTGCTTAGCAGAGAGGACCTTTGCTCGAGAATGAAGTGGGTGTCTGGGTTGATTGGGTTATCGGAATGTTTGTGGGTCCCGATAACCCTTGGCAAGCAATGTAACTACTCGTACAGAAGTTCATATCTTTTTGCTTGACTAGCGTTATTATGGTTGACTATTGAACGTAGTTCCCAGAACTGGGAATCGCTTACTTGGGTGGCACTGATTTCCCCTGATATTTCCGGATATACATTTGAATTCTCTCTGTCTCACGATCTTTGCAATTGAGAACTCCGAGCTCGAGTTAGGCTCAATTCGGGTTCCAACATAATAGCATTCGGTTAGTTCTGGATTCAGAGCAAACAGCCATCAATCGCAGTGTTTGAGGAATCTGCTACCATCTTTGGACAAGACAAGT